TTTGAGGCAATACCAAACTATGTCCTATAGCATCCATAACAATTTACATTCCTACAAGCAATGCATGAGGGCTCTGATCTCCACATCTTTACTTTCTACCTTTCTGATACAAATTATCCTAGTGGGTATGAAATGGTGTCAGGTAGTGTAGTTGTTAGGGCTTCACCGCCAAATGAAAGGCAGCAGTTAAAATCCATTAGCCTCTTGCTGTTGAATCGATTCTGACTCATAGTGGCCCTATCTCCACAGGAGCAGGATAGCCACATCTTTCTGCCCCACAGTGGCTGATCTTGTGGGGGAGATCTTGTGGATAGCAGTTCAATACTTAGACCCATTAGGAAAGTGGAAATAGCAATGCAGTTGGGGAAAAGATTTGGGTTTAAGCCCTGGCTCTATTACTAAGCAATAGTGTTACTTTGAGCAAATTTCACATTTTGAACCTCTGTTTTTTTATCCCTGATGGAGAATGATAGTACTTATGTCTAGTTTTCAGTGATAAGCTTATTCTCTTAATACTATGAGTGAAAGTGCTTTTATGGAAGTTGTTGTATTTTGAGAAGAATGAAGTAGAGAAATAAAGTAGGAAATAAAATTTTAAGAAAACATTTATTCCCCCTCTTTCCATGATAAGTTTTAATTGGCAGGCTTACTTTTTGTTTCTAATGTAGAGGATTTTTGTTTTCTACAGGTTATATTTCCAAATAACTTTGAAACAGGAAATGGGGGAAGTGTACAGGGACATCTTCCCATGATACCAATGTCTCCTATTATGCACCCACGTGTCAAAGAAGTTAGGACTGACAGTGGGAGTCTTCGAAAGGGTAGGTCCAACCGTGTGATTGTAAAACCATAAAACACATGTTTTCAGAGACATTTTCAAGTCTCACTATTATTAAAACATTCAATTCCTTCATCTGGATTTGTAAAGGGGCTCATGCTTGTTGTGCCAGAACTCTAAAAGAATCGAGTATTTGTGTGACTCCTGCCTTTTACATTACAGTAATAGAATTTCCAGTATGATTTTGAAAATAATTTATTTTTTAATTTCATTATGTTATGGAAATAATGTAACTAAAATCCATGCTTATTGGAACTGCAGAGTGAGAGCTGTCTGTGTCCATGGCTATGACTTGCGTGTGTGTGCACACATACACGGAGGTGTGCGAGTGTGCATGTGGCAGCTGTCTACTAGAGAGCGAAGAACCAAGACGACGGAGAGCCGCCCAAACGGCCCGCTCTCCGAGCGGTGGACTGGGAGCAGCTAGCACTCTCTTCATGTATTATCTTTTGCTATTTAGGGGATTTTTAATGTAAGTTACATATGATAAAATCCACTTTTAAAATATAAACTTCAGTGGTTTTTGGCACAATACCATCAATGCAACAAGCACCACTGAGAAATTCCAGTCTTTCATCACCCCCAAAGAACCCTTCTATATACCACGTACAGTCTTCTGTCCTGTCTCCCTGTGCCCTGGACTGTGACTTTGCTCGCTCGCTCGCTCGCTCTCTAGGGGTTTACCCATTCTGAACATTTCCTGTGAACAGAGTCAAACAATATGTGGCCATTTGAGTCTTGCTTCGCTTCCGCAGCATAGTGCTTCCAGGATTTCTCCAGGCTGTAACTTCATTCGTCTTTATGGCTGAGTATTATCTCATTGTGTGGATATGGCACATTTCGCTTGTCCACTCACCTATTGGTAGATATTTGGGTTATTTTTGGCCTTTTCAAATACTATTGTTATGAACATTTCATGGCATGTACTATTTTTATAATGAAGAAAAACATTTCTTGTAGTATTTTCGCAAGAGAACCAAATAATGGGAAATCCTTAGAAAATTTAAAAATTGATTTTTGACTCTGAGAATAAGACAGTTCATTAATTTGTATCTGCATTTAATTTTGAGAGTCCAGTCCACTACAGCTTTTCTAGAAACATACAAATTTCACGGGCCGTACAGCCTAGTTGGAGCTGCCTTGGATTTCTCAAATACTAGGTATTCAGACAGACACCTACAAAGGATTAATGGGAGTTGTTACAGTAAAAATTTTCACTTGTTTTCTCCAGACGGGACATCAAAGTTGCTTTCACAATGCCCAGAATTCTAGAAAGTCTTTTTTATTAAACTATTTGTATTGATTCTTTCCCTATCATCTCAACAAATGAGTAGTGCTGAAAGAGCTGCCAAAGCATTGCCAGGGGTAATTTTTATACTTGTTAGGCATGTTTGGAACTAGATTACATGACTCTTATCTAATTATCTGGTGAATTTAAAATTGTGAAATGCTTTCACTTTAAATGCTTATGATTTATATACTTGTGAAGAAAGGATGCCGTGGGGCTGGGGAAGTGGGCAAGAATGGGAGAGAAGGCAGGGCACTGTGTACCTCGTGGAGAGGAAACAGCAGTTCCTGCAGAAGGGTGACCCTGCGAAAGAGATGTGATCCTTAACTCTTGTTTGTTTGTTTGTTTCTTTGTTTTTAATCAATACATTTCTGCCAACCACAGAGTAAGACAAAGGTAAGAACGGTCTTATCACCTTTATTCGTCTTCATCTTCTGGTAGGCTTATAGAGGATGATTCCCCACCGTTACTGCCTAAAGTTATTTTGGAAAGACAGCTATTAAAGAAGGCAAAAACTATGAACTAAATCACTGGTACTTGCTTATTGCTCCCTTCTTATTTACTAAGTAATATTAGGAGACAGAAGTTAATTGAACTATGGCTTCAAATGAGTGATTATCACATTTGGCCTCTCATCTACTTTACCTGTAGTATTTTGCAGCCTTTAATATAAGTGTAGATTCAGAAGCGATGTCCAAGAAAGATGAGCTGTCATCATTTTCATTTTTTAATGTAGTGTCTTATATCTCTCTCCTACTTAATAGTAAAGAGGGTGGAGACCACATCTGTGTTATATACAGTACTGCTGTATCCCTAGTGCTTAACATGGTAACTCAATATGCATTGATTGAATAAATGATGATGTGATTTATTATTATTTTTCTTTGATGTGATTTATTATTTAAGAATTTATGCCAAACTGTTTTAGAATGTACTTTTCTCTTTATTAGATATGCAACCATTGTCTCCAATTTCTGTCCACGAACGCTACAGTTCTCCTACAGCAGGAAGTGCTAAGAGAAGACTTTTTGGAGAAGATCCACCAAAGGAAATGCTACTGGACAAGATCATAGCAGAAGGAACAAAATTAAAAATTGCTCCTTCTTCATGTATTAATCCTGAAAATATGTCAATTTCACCTGGGCAGAGTCTTCTAACAATGACCACCACTACCATAACAGGGACAACAGGACAAAAAGTTACAATCCCATTTCATGGTAACATCTGAATGCATTTATCTTTCTTTTTTTTCTGAGTTGGAAAAAAAATTTTAATCTATTACTAGGCCAGATCATGTGGTTTTTCTAACCCGATGTGGTTTTTTTCCCCTTCTTGGACTTAAGCCATTTATTTGCTTTCTTTTACAACTTTTTATTGTGATTTGGGTATGAAGGTTTACAGAACAAAGCAGTTTTTAAATAGGCTTTTTTTTTTTACATTTCACAAACTTTCATTTTTTTATCTGAGCCTTCCAAATGAATGCATTAAGGACATCTTTAAGCACTCACAGCAAAACAATATTATTTCATGGGATAATACTTTAAAATAATTAAGTCATGATCTAGAATTATTATTTGTAGCCTTTCCCACCCCTTTTCTAGCATATACCTGTATGTGTGCACATACAGACATGCATCTGTGTGTTTGTGTGTATGTATGTGGGTGTACATATGTAGTCATATCTACACCATTGGACAATTTCAATTTCCATAGATTTGGCAAGATGACAGCATACACAATGAATATTTCCATGTCCTTGGGTTCATTGCTGCATCTTTAGAAGAAGATGCTGGGCAAAATGAATCTCTTCTTCAAAAGTAATAAAGTTATTTGGAAGACTAAATATTAAAGTATATTTATGATTTTACAGTCCTAAAGCTCTGGGTGATTTTCCTTGGCTAAGGCTTTGTTGTTGAGAGAGACATACTTTTGCCCAAGAGCTCTAGTCTCACGTGTGTGTAGCATAATTTATAAAGTACTAGAGTTTTCACCGAAATGCTTGCAATGGAGGAAAGAGTCACTGAAGTGGATTAAGTCACAGGAAGGAAGACATAGTGCTGGTATTTGTCTCCTGCAGTCTGTTCCCAGAAGGGAGGATTCCACACTCCCTTCCTTGTAACCTGCAGGCCTCTTTGGTTGCTATTAACATTTTAATTTCGTCTGCATTATACTTCGGAAAAAGGCCTTGATCTAATAGCTTTATTGTATTTTAGTTTTTGCACTTCCCTGACCTTAGTTAGGTTACTTTGTGTTTGGTGTGTTTCTTAGTCTGTACAGTGAAAGGGTTGCAGCAGATGACCTGTATGGTTTTGTTTTTGTCAGTTTTATAACCCAAGTCTCACTTATGTAGAGTACCAAGTACAGCTGGAAATTTTAAATATATACTTAAAGAATTCTATCGTGAGGAAACTTGCTTAGATCCTCCAGCCTTCTAGGTTTCCTTTGCCTGTAGCCTCAGATTTTGGCCCTAGTAACATGAGTTGCTATTTATTGAACATTTATTTTGTGCCAGGATCATTATTTCATTTCGTCCACATAACTACCGTGGATGAGAAGTATCATTCCCATTTTTCAAATGATGAAATTGAGGAGTTAGAATAGTCGATTGTTCCACTCGAACTCTTAACATCTCTCTGGTTGTCTCTCACAATTTATAAACATCCACTCTCCTCTTTTGAGGAACATAAACATTTTATACCATTACTTAATGTTTCCCCCAAACCTTATATGATGTCACATACATAAAGCAGTGATGGTTTTGAGTACATTATTCAGTGTATACATGCCATCTGTATCAATGTTTTGTAAAGAAACAAAACCAGTTGGGAGGTGTGTATATGGGTGAGTAAGAGGTAGGTAGACAAGCAAAGCAATGGACTCCTGGGATTGTGGGGTCTAGCAAGTAAGTGTGAAATCCACAGGGCAGGTGACAACTTGTAAACTCAGGAAAGAGTTGACCTTGCAGTCTTGGGTAATTTACATAGGTATGTCTGTTAAATCTAGAACCTGGTTTAGCTCTTAAGGACTTCAGCCTATTGCATGAGGTCCACCCAGATTATTAAGAATAATCCCCTTTACTTAAAGTCAACTGATTATAAAAGTTAATCTTATCTACAAAATATCTTCATCACAACATCTAGTTTAATATTTGACCAAACTTCTGGGCACCATAGCCTAGTCAAGCTGCCACATAAAGTTAACCATCACACTACCCTAGCATTCCCTCCTTAGATAAGAGTGTGGTAAATAGCCTCCCTCTCCATCTTGTTTCCGAGAGAAAGAGAAGACTTTCTACTCCCATAAAGAATTCCCATCTCGGAAACCCACAAGGGCTTTCTACCCAGTTCTGTAGGCTCACTGTGTGCCAGCGTTGAGCTGAGGGCAGTATTTGGTGTTGGTTTTTGGTTGAGAATCCTCGGCATGGTAGACAGTTTTCACATTAGGTTTTTCTTCTTGTCTCTGATCATACTGCCAACTATTAGTTTCTAGAATGTTGTTTAAACCGACATTGACCTCAAAATAAATGGGAAATTTCAAGGTGAATTGTTTGCCCTTTCCCCATGTATAAAATTCTCCATAAAATCTCTTTGCATTGCTGTGAAATCTGAGATAGAAGAAGAAGAGCCAACTTTGTCCTCTTTATGCCTTTAGAACTTGTTTTGATGAAGTAGTGAAGGAGTTTTAGCTTCTGGGATTCCATGGAAGTGTACATCAAATGTTATTCCAGAAATGAAATCAATTCTAAAAGGCCCCAGATCTTCCTAGTAGCCTAGAATGGGGTCAACAAAAATTTTCTCAAAGGTTCAGGTGTTTGGTCCAGGAGACAAAATTGACACGATCATATAGGGACTTGTATGTTACTAAGTGCCATCAAGTTGGTACTAACCCATAGTAACTCTGTGCACTACAGAACAAAACACTCCGGTCCTGTGCCATCCGCACATCCTCACAATTGGTTCCATGCTTGAGCCCATTGTTGCAGCTCCAGGGACTTACATAACAGTTTAAAAATGTAACTGTGTAGAAATTTAAAAGCATTCTCAACTTGGGGTGGGGGTGGGGTCGGTAATCTAAACTAGTAGGCCAAAATAGGCCAATGACCCTAGTTTGCCAGCCACTGGTCTAGAAGGAAAATACTAAAATTTCTTAAATCTTTTAAGCACTTTTCCATTTGTAATGGTGATTTTTAACTTTGACTGCCTCAAAGTTTAACACTAATAATGTGAGTCTGAAAAAGATTTTTTAAAAATCATTTATTGGGGGCTCGTACAACTTTTATCACAATCTGTACATCCATCCATTGTGTCAGCACATTTGTACATTTGTTGCCCTCGTCATTCTCAAAACATTTGCTTTCTACTTGAGCCCTTGGTATCTGCTCCTTTTTTCCAAAAGATTATTTTTTGGCAAAGCTAGGCTGCAAGTTTATGAAGTTCACGTTTATATTCCTCACTAGGGTGATTGTAAAGATTGAATTTTATAAGCTATACACTATAAAGAATTCTCAGTGATAATACTCAACCAAAAAAACCACATTCACTACCATCACGACAATGACAACTCCTAGAGACCTGTAGGACAGGGTACAACTGCCCTTGTGAGTTTCCAAGACTGTAACTGTTTACAGGAGTAGAAAGCTCCATATTTCACCCCCCATTTCAAATTGCTGACTTTTGAGATCACAGGCCAATAGTAATAGTATTTACCTTATAAATGAAAGCAAATTTGTATTAAACATATTATTGACAACTTTGTAGGGAAATGTGTACTTATTTCCAAATCTGAGGAATCTTGATATCTATTCAGGTATTGCAAATGATGCTGGAGGGATCACACTGATACCCATTTCCATGAATACAACTCCGGATTGCAAATTGGAGAGTCCTGTATCCCTCACTGCTCAATCATTACTTGGTGCTTCTCCAAAGCAGACCCATCTGACTAACACACAAGAAGTACTGCCAACTGGAACATGCAAACCAAAGAGAACCGGGTCCTTAGCTTTGTTTTACAGAAAGGTATGTGTTTGTCTAGCTTGTTAAGTGAGTGCGTGAAAGATGACATAGCAGAGGGCAGATTTAGTTCGAAATTTTTTCTTACCTATTTGACTTTATAAAAGAATATTATCTTGAGATTAAACTCACGTTCATATTGTTTTACTCCATTTCCTGAACTAACTTTTTCGCTTCCTAAGAGCTTGCATTCTTATGTCATTATCAGTAGATTAACCTTCCTCTCTGGAATGTGCTGGAACTGTGGTGGACAGAGTTCATTGTGTGATACTATATATTGGATCTCACAAGTGAACTTTAAAGTTACTGAAGAATCCTAAAAATAGATTGGCGATTGTGAAAAGTATGTTTTTATCATAAGTCTGACGTGTTAGCATATAAGATTAGTTAAGAACATGTTGAATATAATTATGTGAACATTTTCTACATGTACCAGCCAGTGACATTGCTTACATTCTTCAAGTTGTGTAAACTTTCTCACACGCCTTTTCTGAGTTGTTCCTTCCCTAGTAACATAAATTCACTGCTCCCTCAGGTTCCTGTCTGATCTTTAGAATTGCTGTTATCAATTTGATCCCATTGAGAGTTCTTCAAAGAGTGCAGTGCTCACGGCAGACCTTTTTCACTAGTTGAGTCACATTGTTTTTCGGTTTTAAAAAAATCTTCAGGGGCATTTTGGTTTGTGGTTTAAAGATGATCTCAGGGCAATATTTTCAGAGGCTCATCCAACAGATTCCAGGGAGTCTAGAGTATATGAAAATGTAAGATTCTGGTTTATATTCCCACCTTTTGATAAGATTCTTCTAACGATTCTTTGATTTAACTTTCAGTAATAGCCATGCATTATCTAGTTTTTGGTCTCATTGCAAAGGACTAGTTACTCATGAAAGCAATTAGCCACACATTCCATACCCTCCTCCTGTCCCTGACTCTCCTTCCTTTTTTGTTCCAGAGACCATTGGTATTTTGAATGGCTACTAGTAAGCTTTTAAGACCCCATACACGTGACAGTAAGGTAGGAGGTAGAACAGAGGCACAATACTTAGACCAATTACCTCGGATGTCCTATGAAACTATAACCCTAAACCTCCAAACAGAAGACACCAAATCACATTAACAGCTTTTTTTTTTTTACCATCTTTGTTGTATATATCACAGTTTTTGCGAGTTCAACTTTAACAGATGTACTGCTTATTGACAGTAATCAGCTGTGCAACCTTATCCTTAATGGGATATATTTCCATCACCATTAACTGCCCCTTAGTCCCTTCCTCCCATTGCTGGTACTGATAAGACTTATTCTGTATACTTTAAAAATAGATGGGACACAAATTTCTGAGCTCTTGACAAAATGATGCATTCATTGTCCAACTTGCACATGTGCCTGTAACGCGATAAAAAATACCATGGCTTGAAAATACCTTATTCCTCAAAGTGACATTTTTGCCCTTTAACATTTTAAAGAGGTCTTTTGCAGCAGATAGGCCCACTGCAATGTGTCATTTGATTTTTTGACTGCTGCTTCCATTAACATTGATCATGGCTCTGAGTGCTACATATAATGTATTGATAGCCTAGGTATTTTTAAATCTTTGTCTGATTGCTCCTTAATAGTAAGTCAGAAAATTTCAAAAAGGATTCACTTGATATTTTTGCATTTTAGGTTTATCATTTAGCAAGTGTACGCTTACGTGATTTATGTTTAAAACTGGACATTTCCAACGAGCTGCGAAGAAAGATATGGACATGTTTTGAATTTACTTTAGTACATTGCCCTGATTTAATGAGAGACAGACATTTGGATCAGCTACTCCTTTGTGCCTTTTACATCATGGCAAAGGTAATGTAGAAAATGGGGTCTGCTCTTTTGCCGTAGTTTATATTAGAAGCGTGAGATAAAAATCTGTTGAACTTGATATCTTCTTTTGCCTTTAGCTCTGCAAGCCGAAGTGGCACCCATCATTGTGAATGAAGCCGTAAATTCCAACTACTGTATTCTCTGGGCTCTCCATTTTGTCTCATAATAGTCAACTTTCCTACTTCTTTGGAAAGGAGTTAGGAAGGACTTACAGAATATATGTGGTAACGTGGCTCCCCACACTATTAATATGACCAAACACCATCCCACCCTCATCCTTGAGACACTTTTTTTTTTTTAACATTTTATTAGGGGCTCATACAACTGTTATCCCAATCCATACACACATCAATTGTGTAAAGCGCATTTGTACATCGTTTCTCAAAACATTTTCTCTCCACTTAAACCCCCGACAGTAGGTCCTCGTTTTTTCCCCTCCCTCCCCGCCCCCCCCTCCCTCATGAGCCCTTGATAGTTTATAAATGGGTATTTGGTCATATCTTGCCCTGTCCGACGTCTCCCTTCACCCACTTTTCGGTTGTCTGTCCCCCAGGGAGGAGGTCACACACAGTTCCATGTAATCGGTTCCCTCTTTCCTACCCATTGTCCCTTTACCCTCCCTGTTTTGCCACTCACACCACTGGTCCTGTAGGGCTCATCCGTCCTGGATTCCCTGTATTTTCAGTTCCTATCTGTACCAATGTACCTCCTCTGGTCTAGCCAGACTTGCAAGATCGTATGGTAGTGGGAGCAGGGAGGAAACATTTAGGGACTAGAGGAAAGTTGTATTTCTCATCATTGTTACATCGCACCCTGACTGGCTCATCTCCTCCCCGAGACCCCTCTGCAAGGGGATCTCCAGCCTTGGGACACTTTTGATCTAGTGGTTTATTGTAATCATTGCATTGTAGATGAGGCTCAACACTTGTAAGTATCTTGGCCAGAATTTCACCATAAGTGGCAAGTTTGGATCTTCCAATGTGTAGTCTTATGTAAAACAGCTCCTTACTTCCCAGTGATAGGCTGTCCACTCCTGAGAAATTAGGCACGGAAAACCTTATGGATAACATTGAAATATTTCCAGATACTGTAAACCTCATGAATAGAAGCAGAATATTGGGAGAGGTAGCACAAGAAAATGAGCCCGCCAATCTAAAGGTATTCAAAATATGACTGAGGAAGAGCTACCTTCTCTAAGTAGAGTCGACCATAATGACGTGGATGGAGTAAAAAGCTGAATCCAAGAAAATTAGAAATTGTGGGAAATGAAATGGAATGCATAAAGTTCAGTACTCTAGGTAGTAGTAAGCTAAATGGCCTGGTAGTGGCCATTTGGAATCAGAAAACCCTATGATTTACTATGCTGGAAATGACACAAGAGGAATGGCATTGAGGTCATCAACAAAAAGGATATTTTGAGATCTATCTTGAATTACTATGCTGTCTGTGCTAGATTGTCTATTTGCGTACAAGGAAATTCAATGAAGACAACTATTCAGATTTAAGAAACAAACACTGAAGCTAGTGATGCAGAAATTGAAGAATTATACCAACATCTTTAGTTTGAAATTGATCAAACATGCAATTATGGCACATTAATAATTGATTGGAATGCAAAAGTTGAAAACCAAGAAGGAACTGGTTGGAAAATAAAATCACATGATAGAATTTTGTAAGACCAACAACTTCTTAATAGCAAATACCCTTTTCAACAACACAAACAATCAGTGTTCATGTAGACTTCTCCAGGTGGAATACACAGAAATCAAATTGACTACATTGTGGGAAGAGCACAATATTGGTAGCTAAAATGAGTCCAGGGGCTGACCCTGGAACAGACCATCAATTGTTTATATGGAAGGTTGAAGCTCAAGAAAATTAAATCCACAAGATTTGTTTTATAAATCTACAACATTAAGTATATCACGTGAATTTCAAGAACAGATTTGGTGCGTTCAACACTTAACGACCTGATGAGCTATGGGATGACATCAAGAACGCCATATAGGAAGAAAGCAAAAGACCATTAGAAAGCAAAGCAAGAGAATATCTGAGTGGAGACTTTCTCTTAATTGTCTAATAGCTAAGGCAAGAAATGATGACATAAAAGAGCTGAACAGAGCATTTCAAGGGACAGCAGTAAAATGACAATGCAATGTGCAAAGACCTAGAAAACCAAAACAGAACATACCTTAAACTGAAAGAAGTAAAGAAGAAAATCCATGCTTCAAGTTGCAATATTGAAAATTTCTGTGGGTGAAAGATTGAATCTTCAAAAGAAACTGGGAACAATACACAGAGCCACCGTACCAAAAAGAACTAGTCAATATTCAACCATTCCAGAGGTCGCATATATGAGCAATCAGTAATAATGGTGGGAGAAGTCCAAGCTGCACTGAAAGCATTAGTCAAAAATGAAGCCTCAGTAATTGATGGAATGCCAATTGAAATGTGTCAACAAGTTGATTAAACACTTGAAGCGCTTATCTATGCCAAGAAATTTGAGAGACAGCTACTTGGCCAACTGAGTGGAAGAAATCTATTTGTACCCATACCAAAGAAAGATGATCCAACAGAATGTTCAAATTATAGAACAGTATCATTGATATTGATTGCAAGTAAAATTTTAGTGAAGATCATCCAACAACAGTTTTAGCAGTACATTATAGGGAGTTTCCAGAGGTTCAGGCTGAATTCATAAGAGGATGTATAACAAGATAGATCATTGCCAATGTCCGATGGATTTTGGCTGAAAGCAGAGAATACCAGAAAGAAGTTTACTTCTTTTGCTTATTCACCCGCTTTGTCTTCAACGGTTGTGTCGGGAAGGTGAGGATCATAGAATGCCAATTTAATAGAAGGAAGTATTCTTGCATTGAGGGAGTACTTGAGTGGAGGCCCAATGTCCTTCTGCTACCTTAATACTAAACCTATAAATATAGGCTTATAGATCTATTTCCCCATCCTCATATAAATATATTTGCATATGTGGTGAAGAAAGCTGATGTTGCCCGGCTATCAAAAGATGTAGTGTCTGGGGTCTTAAAAGCTTGAAGGTAAAGAAGTGGCCATCTAGCTCAGAAGCAACAAAGCCCACATGGAACAACATATCAGCCTGTGTGATCACGAGGTGTCGAAGGTATCACTGAAGACAAATGGGTGCATAAGCAAATGTGGCGAAGACAGCTGATAGTGCCCGGTTATAAAAAATTTTGCGTAAGGGGTCTTAAAGGCTTAAAGGTAATCAAGCGGCCATCAAGCTCAGAAGCTACAAAGCCCACATGGAAGAAGCACACCAGCCTATGCAATCACGAGGTATCGAAGGGATCAGGTATAAGGCATCATCAGAACAAAAAATCTTACCATAGTGAATGATTGGGGGAGTGTGGCGTGGAGACCCAAAGCCCATTAGTAGGCCACTGGAGATCCCCTTGCAGAGGGGTCTCGGGGAGGAGATGAGCCAGTCAGGGTGCGATGTAACAATGATGAGAAATACAACTTTCCTCTAGTTCCTAAAGGTTTCCTCCCCGCTCCCACTACCATGACTCGAATTCGATCTTGCAAGACTGGCTAGACCAGAGGAGGTACACTGGTACAGATAGGAACTGAAAATACAGGGAATCCAGGATGGATGAGCCCTGTAGGACCAGTGGTGTGAGTGGTGATACAGGGAGGGTAGAGGGAGAGTGGGTTGGAAAGAGGGAACCGATTACAAGGAACTATATGTGACCTCCTCCTTGGTGGATGGACAACCGAAAAGTGGGTGAAGAGAGACGTTGGACAGGGCAAGATATGACAAAATAACAATTTATAAATTATCAAGAGCTCATGAGGCAGGGGGGAGTGGGGAGGGAGGGGAAAAATAAGGGCCTAATGCCAGGGGCTTAAATGGAGAGGAAATGTTTTGAGAATGATGAGGGCAATGAATGTACAAATGCACTTTACACAATTGATGTATGGATTGATTGTGATAAGAGTTGTGTGAGCCCCTAATAAAATGATTTTTTTTAAAACCACATGAACAAACACATCACCAAAGAAGATTAAAAAAAAAAAAGTTGTGTTTGGATCATAAACTATGTATAGCCTTGAGAAGCTTGGAAATTCCAAAACACTTCATTGTCTTTATGTGAAACCGGTACATAGCTCAAGAGGCAGTTGTATGAACAGAATAAAGGAAGACTGCTTGGTTTAAAAGTCAGGAAAGGTGTACATCAGGGTTGTATCCTCACCATGCATGTTCAGTCTGTCTGCTCAGAATCAGAGAAACGGTTATATGAAGAAAACGGTGACATCAGGATTTGAGGAAGTCTTATTAGCAACTTGTGATGTGCAGATGACATGACCTTGCTTGCTGAAAGTGAGGAGGACTTGAAGTACTTGCTGATGAAGATCAAGGATTACAGTCTTCATTATACATTATAACTCAATATAAAGAAAACAAAAATCCCCAAAACTGAACCAGTAGGTAACAAGCAGAGAAAAGACTGAAGTTGTCAAGGATTTCCCCTTGCTTGGATCCACAGTCGGTGCTCATGGAAGCAGCAGTCAAGAGATCAAAGGGCATATTGTACTGAGTAACTGCACATGACCTCTATAATGGATTGAAAAGCAAGGATGTTACTTCGAGGACTAAGATGTACCTGACCAAAACCATGGTATTTTTAGTCACCTGATAGGCATTTGAAAGTTGAACATTGAATAAGGAAGACTGAGAAACACTGAATTTGGATTATAGTGCTGGGAAGAATACTAAGTACCGTGGACTGCCTAAAGGACAAACAAATCTGTCTTGGAAGGAGGACAGCCAGAATGCTCCTTACAGGCAAGGAAGCCAAAACTGTCTCACAAACTCTGGACATGTCAGGAGAGACCAGTCCCTGGAAAAGGACATCATGCTTGGTAAAGTAGAAGTGCATTGAAAAAGGGGAAGGCTGTAGACAAGATGGACTGACAAAGTAGCTACAACAGTGAGCTCAGCCATCAGAACAGTTGTGAGAATGGTGCATTTTTTCATTGTGTTGTACGTGGGGTTGCTGGAGTTGGAAGCAACTAACTGGCACCTCACAACAGCAAACCACAATCCGCTTCTTTGTGACCACCACTGTGATTGTTCAGCATGGAAACCCTTCAGTCTGTTCCAAAATGAGCAGCCTACTTGTATCATAATGTATAGACTTTCTTGTGAGTGACTGCAGGACATTTTCTGGCCTTTAGTATGTGGTTAAATTGCTTCTAAATAAGTACTTAAAACTAAGGAAATTTGAGACCGCAGGAGATTCAGTAGATCTGACATTTCTTCCCATTCTTTTTATAAAGAAATGCATTTTCAGTAGAGTTAGACCATCACAATCTCGTTGCTTTTGATGAATGAAGTCATTAGCCGAATCTCCACAGGCTCCAAGCACGAACTTTGACGGTGGTAAAACTTATAAATGCTAGTGGCTTCTAGTTATACACTGCTCTGGGGGTTAGTGGCTTTTTGCAAAGCTGCTCTTAAACCAACCTATAATTGAAGATTTTGTTCAGAGCCATTTTTCTTTCAAAAGCACTTAATGAATGCAGTTTTTATTTTCCTTAGGTAACAAAAGAAGAAAGAACTTTTCAAGAAATAATGAAAAGTTATAGGAATCAGCCCCAGGCTAATAGTCATGTGAGTATATCATTTTTCTCACTGCCCAAATACAGATTTGTACTATGTCTCTGCTGACAAGTCTTATCAAAAGTAAACTTCTTTTAGTTTTATTACACTGCAGAGTTCCAGGCTTAATGGATACTGTTAAACAGAAGAGATTGTTTTATCAAAGGACAGTTTCAATAGAAGCCAGTCAATCTGGCTGATCCTGACACATTTATAGAACTGCAGGCACTTATCACAAATCCTGCTGTTCCATTTGTTCCTTTATTGAATGAGAATATTTTTCACTCAAAATTATAATACTTTTAATTGTATGAGACTCAGTCCTGATGTTTAAATCTTGTGAAATTGGAGGATTTTATTCACCATAGTCCAACTTCATTTGCCATCTGTTAAGAATCTTAATATTTGCATCTTTGGATAAAGGTGGTGAGCATTTCTGATTGTTGTTATTGTAGCTATGGTGAGAATCATATAAAAAGCTTCAGTCATGTTCTGGGCCTCTACTTTAATCTTACCTCAGTACAAGAACAGTTAGTTCTAATAATGTGGTGATATATGATTCTCACCTTCCCAACACAATCGCTGAAGACAAAATGGGTACATAAGCAAGTGTGGTGAAGAAAGCTGATGGTGCCTGGCTATTAACAGATACAGGATCTGGGGTCTTAAAGGCTTGAAGTTAAACAAGCAGCCATCTAGCAGGGAAGCAACAAAGTCCATATGGAAGAAGCACACCAGCCTGTGTGATCATGAGATATCAATGGGAACAGGTATTAGAAGTTCAAAAACAAGCAACCAAATTTATGTGAAGGAGAATAGGCAAAGTGGAGACCCAAACACATCTGTAAGATAACTGGACAGTCCCTCACAGAAGGGCCACACAGAAGGGATGATATATCCAGGTGCAGTATAGCACTGTTGAAACATATAACTATCTCTAGTTCTTTAATATTTTCTCTCCCTATTATTATAGTCTTAGTTTTACCTTATTAATCCTGTTAGACCTGCATCTGTTCATTTGTATATTTAAGATGGTTTGATGCATGAAATCCAAAATAGACAAGCCCTTCAGGAATGTAATGGGAGTAATGATTCCTTTAGGGTACAGAAAGAGAGAGGGAGGAAAGGAGGGAGAGAGGAACTGGTAGCAATGATGACTGTATAACCCCACTGGAGGGAACAAATAACAGTGTCAGGTGAACAGATACATTAGGTGGTATAAGATACAAGGGGAAAAAGGAATAACAATAATATTTAATATAATAGCAAGGATTCCTGGGGTGGTGGGAGTGGGGAGAGCAGGGATAAAGGGGCATTGCTATCAAGGAGTACAAGAAGGAAAGAAAATGTTTTGAAAATGATGGTGGCAACAATTGTACAATCATGCTCAATCTAATTGAATTATGGATGGTTAGATCAAGAACTCCCAATAAAAATGCAAAGAAAAATAAAACCCTTCAGTCATGAAAATGCAAAATGTTAGCCTGGTGGCCCAGCGGTAGTAACCATTTCATGAATGTTCCCTATCAGTGTTATTGTAGCTAAAGAGCGCTTTTCCTGAAGGCCTTGAGCTCTGCTCTAAGGGTGTCTAGTGACCTATTCTCTAGCCCTGTTGATGTCTCGTGTTAAAAGATGAGAAGTCTGACACTAGCTTCTCCGAGGCCTAGTAATGGTAGTCATAGTCCCTTCTAAGAGCCCCGCAAATAGTTGTACTGACAATAAATAAATAGAGGCATGAAGACAGGCATTTGTTCTATCAAAGGCTAGGAGTTTCCGCATCTCCTGGGCAAAATTCTGTAAGTACCAGAATCTGGAAAGATGATCCAGATTGGCCCTAAAGATCATTTGGATGAGGTTTTAAAACTGTCTATGAGTTGGAGGAGAATCTGGAGGTTTAGAGGCAGAGAAGAGAAAAATGTTCATAAAGGAGATGGAAATGAGGTAGGGTTAAGAAAAGAAGCCCTGATGTAATCAAATGATTCTCATGTAAGGAATTAAAAGGAGGGAGGAATACGTTCAGATCTTTGAAGGTTGCTTTTATTTGGCAAAACCTACTCATCAGGCTTCTTATGTGAACTCTAAGAATGTCACCTTTTAGGGTACAAGCTCTGCTTCAGGATCCCATCATGTAAAATGCTTGCCTAATCTACACTTACTATAACTAATGACATTGTGTCTTCAATTATCATCAACATAGACAAAGGTCTTCAATTGGTTTGATATTTACTCTTATATGGGTTTTGCTTAAGCCTCTGCTGCTTTGTGCTACAAGCAGCCTTTTTCTCCTTTACCTGTAGGTCTACAGAAGTGTCTTATTGAAGAGTACCCCAAGAGAAGTTGTGACATACAATGAAAGCATAAATGGTGATGTTGAAATGACAGATTGTGGTAAGTTACCAATTTAGCATGCATAATACAGTACTCTTGATTACGTTGTCTGTATAATGCAGTGGCTTTCAAGTGAGACTGAGGCGTGGGGTAGATGCACACACGACAGAGGAAGAAAGAAGTGTGGATCAAGTGCTTTAAATCCCTTCCAAAGAGACAGTGGCATATTGGCATCACTAATTTGTCCCCTGTCAATTATGTTTCAGAAGAAGTTTCTTATTGTATTTATACATGTTAGTTAAACACATAAAGTATGCTTAAAATTAAAAAATACGTTCGAATGACAGGAAAAGCAAAGTGGCTATCAGTGATCTGCCTGGGGAGACAATGCAGGAATGAATGACTTGTTCATTAATAAGTACATAACTATCTCTGCCACCCTGAGCAGCTGCCACCTGATTGCCACTACCATGCTGCAACCAATGTGAGGCAGAAATTTGTCATAAAAAGGAAAACCCAAATATTTTCCACTAAAACCAGCAGTAGAAAAGTGGTAAAAGCATACCCTACCCAAGGAAAACTTGTGAGACTCAAAAAAACAGTGTCATTGAGTTCTGGCTCTGTGTTTTCCAGAACTTTTTGGCTGAGTGAAAATTATCTACTCCCTCTACTGCCTAAAAGTTTCAGATCAAATTCTGCTATATATACATTTATTAACTAGATATGTATTAGGAGGCAAGCAAAAAATAGGTATAAATCCTATTCAGTTGTGGATTAGGCAAGGAGAATGTCCAGGGGGTAGTTGACTTAGGAATGTAGATGAGAATTGAGAGACTTAGGAAGCAGACTCAGTAAGCATAGTCAAATAGGACACGTTTCATGTTCCGCACCTGTGGCCGCACCTATGATTTGAACACAGTGAAGAACACTAGCTTGAGAAGAGTAATTCTTATTCTAAAATCAACTTCATAATTAGGTGTAAGATGAAAGAAAGCAGACACACATTTATAATTACCGTTTAACGAGCTTGAGTCCCAGCTGGCTGTTCAATCATCACCTCACATGAAGGGCTCGCTGGAGGCAGCTGTCGAGATCTGGAAGTAGGATCTGCTAGCCCAACAGCACAGGTCTTCTCGGGCTTAGAGCATCCCCCCAACGCAAAAGACCCACACACCTCAGTGGGTCGCTCATCCCATCATGCTGTTGTGAGAAGCATGTGTTGTCTTATGCTTAACAAATATTTTTACCAAATGTCTGCATTTAACTTCCCCAGTGTGAGCATTTTTAGCATTTATCATAATTACTAAAGTGCTATTTTCGTCGATGGGAACCCTGGTGGCCCTGTTAGGTGAGTATTTCAGACTGTTGACTTCAAGGTTGGTGGTTCAGTTCCCCAGCTGCTCTGACAGAAAGTCTGTCTGCTCCCATGAAGATTTACTGCAGGCGTCCTCAAACTATGGCCCACGGGCCACATGCGGCCCACCGAGGACATTTATCTGGCCCACTGGGTGTTTTTGCCCACTTTGGTTTTTTACTTCAAAATAAGATATGTGTAGTTGTGCATAGGAACTTGTTCAGTTTTTTTTTTAACTATAGTCTGGCCCTCCAACGGGTGTGAGGGGCAGTGAACTGGCCCCTATTTAAAAAGTTCAAGGACCCCTGCTTTACAACTCTGGAACCCTGTATAGGGTTGCTGTGAGTCAGAAGCAACTCAATGACAGTAGGGCTTTGGGAGTGTTTTCATCAACAAAAACTCACTTCTGACATTGAGCACATTAATTAACAAATCACATGATTGAGACATTTAATAGATACCTTGATAGTACCTACCTGAGGTGAAGGAACTTTCTGATTCAGACACCAGCTCACTACCACTCTTCATTACTGTGTCAGCAGACTACCCTTACTGCCAACCTTCATTAGAATTCTTGTGATACAGATTTTTATGCACATAGTACACTGTAAATTGAAAACTATTTTTAAACTCGGTTTGAGAATTAAATTAAAAGATGTACAAATATAGTAGCTCTTATCATAATGTGAAATACCAAATTTATTTATATTAAACAAGTATGGCTTTTCTATGTGTTATTTTTCCCCCCCATTTTGGTCTTCTAAAAGGTAATTGAATCTTAGGCCACTTTTTTTGCTTGGCTTAAAATCCTTTAAATTTTACTAAACAGAATACATAAACCATGTATGCTTTCTTAGCAGTAATCACTTTATACCTAATTATGAATTTGATTTTAAAAGCCTGTTGATCTTTTAAAAGGTAATTGAATCTAAAGCCACATTTATTACTTTAACTTTTGGGAATTAACCCCACAAAGTGGATTTCCTCAAAGGAATAAACAGTTATATGTATACATGAAATAACTGTGAACTGACAGATCGGTGACTTTATCTGCATAATACCCATGTACAGTCAGTCCTCAGGTAATCAAGTAATCAGGATGTGAATGGAGCACAGTTTTACTTTTTTCAGGTCATTTGGATTTCATCAGAAGTTTCCAGAATATCATGTCAGACTTTGTCTGAAACAACTAATGTTTTAGATTGGTCGATAGTCATTCTTTGGTATTACTGGTACTGACTTGTACTGCTCTATCAGAAAGCCAGTCTGAAATTCTTACTTACTGCATACTGTTATAAGGAATAAACATAATGAGAAGAGGACACTAGGAGAAAGATGAAACAAATATTAAATGCCTACTCTAGGAAAGAGCTGCCCCTTTGGTTTATAAGTAATTCTCATTTTATGAGTATGAGGGTCACTTGTGCCTATCACTTCTCAGTCTGAAGGTCAACATTATGGTTCACAATTCTAGCTTTGGTTAATTGGTCTAATGAATAGGGAATTCACTAATCTAATTCACTAAATGATCTGGGAGTGCCCAGCCTGTGGAATCGCTTCCACCGAGAAATGGCAATCTGTTCCCTTCAGCATCACCTCCCCTGGGTAGCCATGGTCCGGGGTTAAAATGATCTGTGCACACCCCTTCCTCATCAAGGTGGTCTGCCATCTGCCTGCCCACCGTCACTTCAGGACTGGGAATTCTCAAACCAGGAGCCACGCTGAAAAATCTAGCCTGCCTTTCTGGAGTTCGGCAAATATATATACCTGTTTTCTTAAGGGCTTATGTAATTTGCTCATAGTTTATCTAAAACCACATTTTAGTTGTTTGGCAATATTTTATATGTTAATTTAAAAATATTTTTCTTACTCTTGACAGCAGGAAGGAAACTTAGGAAGCCATAAAACTTACTGGTTTGTTTCACAAATATATAAAAAGTATACCATGTGTTTCAAATTATTTTAGGCAGAGGTCCCCACCCTCCGAGGGAAAACAGATTTGTAACAATTTTAGCAGCCATACAGGTAAACGGTTGCTTTCACTTGCTCTCATTTTTCTATAAATTCGCACTCTCAAAGTATTTGTGGTGAGGTCATCACCAGATCTACTGAGGCTTTAGGGTGGCAGGGTTCTTATTGAGGTAGGAAGTAAAGATCTTTCTCCTGCATAAAGGATAGCTGATATATTATTTATTTTTAAATGAAAATATGCTGAGTTAAAAGCCAGATCCCAGAAAGCTTTATATATTTGGTCCATCAACAAAGTATAGCTCTTTTATAGCTATTGGGATATAGTTTATATATAAGGTGACCAATAATTTTAACATTGGTAAAGCGGGACACCATTGATAAAACTCATATCCTGGTGAAATAGCCACATGACAGCCGAAAACCGTATACCCTAGCTTGTCGTGCATTCTTTCCCCAAATTGGGACTTTCATAAAGTGCCGTGGGACGTGGGGAAAAATTGTTTAAAATCGGGACACCTGGTCACCTTATTTATATCCTCTGGAAATTTCTAACTCGAGGACAATAGTTGTAATTGATAACTATAATGAGAATAATACACAGTGGCTGTTACTGAGCCATTATGTCGTGAAGCAGTCTTCCCCCAAATGGTAGTAAATATTGTGAAGGAAGAGAAATGTTTGCAGTAAAAAGCCTGGGAAAGCATAGAGCTAAAATAAGTGTTTATTTTTCCAGCTGTAGCCCTCAGAGCTGTTAACGTGCTTACATGTACTCTGAATTTCCAAGAGGAGGACATACTATGCAGCATTTCCTCAACTTATTTGTTAAGAGCCTTCAAAAATAGCAAGAATGTAAAAGACATCCAAATTGGGGCTGAGATCCCTGGAGTCACTAGGCCTTTGGGCCAGATTTGAGTTTCATGGAATTTCCTAAAGTGAGGGCATACTTCTACCCGTGCTGCAGGCAAGGTATTTGAAACTGAAAACCTTTTTCACTCACTGAATTCTTTTTCATTGGCAGGGGCTTTTGTAGCTTTTGTGAGCAGATGATAGCTTATATTACATTTCCCAGAAAAGAATAAAGTTCTGCCTTAATCCACAAGCTACCCCAGAGCTCACGAATGTTGGGTGACATCAACAAATAGGAAAAGACCTTGGGGCCAGCTGAGGGTGGCTAACTAAAAACTGAGGGGATAAATGATGGGAAATCAGGCTGGTAGAGCACCTGTCATCTGCCACGTGTTTTACACAGAATTTAAAGACACAAGTCATGCTTTCCCTTTATTCTGTAAGGAGTCTTATAGAATACTTTGAGTCTTTCCACCGTTCATGAAGAGCCACTCTAATTATCTGCAGGCCCTTTTGTTATCTGAAGCTCAGGATTGGTCACTGCTATCCATAACCTGGTGGTCTTTTGTTAAACTGTAGTCCAAGGCTGGACTCCATGGCCATGAACTCAAAACATTGCAGTAGCCCAAACGTTCTTGCTATAGTGGTAGCCAGAGAAAAGAGCACATTGAAGTTCACATATTTGCGTTTCTCTAGATTCTAATTTAACTAATACATCATACAGGTGGATGGATGAACTTTTTCAAAGACCACTAATTGCTTTATAATAAAAGTCTGTGTTAATTTGATCTTTAATATTGCAGAGTCATAATTCAAATCACCAACTTATGTATTAAAATGCAACTATCATGTGTATTAAAATGCAACTATCTTTTAACAGACTTAGAAGATGCAGCCAAAATGCCAGACTGTTCCAGTGGACCAGAGAGAGGAGAAAGAGGGGATCTTATAAAATTTTACAACACAGTATATGTGGGAAGAGTGAAGTCATTTGCATTGAAATACGACCTGTCAAATCAAGACCATGTGGTACATTTCTTGTTCTACTACTTAGTGAATAGATGCAATCATAGATTATTATAAGTTTACTTGACTAAGTATTTCAGAATGTAAAGTCCCACTGACACATTTTATAGGAGTCAGTATACTCAATGAATCAGAAAGTGATTAAGGTTAAAATTTAATAGGGAACTGAGGAGATCATAGGCATTCTGTCCATACTGTGCTCTTCCCATACTGTTACAAGTGATGTGTGTGCTGATGATTAAGCGCTCCATTACTAGCTGAAAAGTTGAACCCACCCAGGGGGTGCCCTTGTAAGACAGACCCTTCACTTTACGTCTAAAAGTTCACAGCCTTGAGAACCTTCTGGAGCAGTGCTCTGCATGCTTGGGGGTCACCGTGACTCAGAGTCAACTCAAGGGCAACTAGCAACATGAAAAGGGCCTAGAAGGGAACAGAAGCTAAAGCCATTAGTGTGGATCATGTGCTCTCTTGACTTTGGATTCTACTACCACATTTGGGAGATAAATGTGGGTATTGTTTTCTTGCAAAGCAAAGAAAGGGAAATTGGTAGGCCTGGGTCATTATTCTGCAGCTCTGAAAAAATTATGCAGACGCTAGTTTTGGCAGTAGCAGTAGGCCTAAGAAGGTGTATCCAGCATGTGGTCTAGCGTTTCCTAAAAACTGGAGTCACTGAAATAATCTAGGGGCTGCTGCAAAAGCAGATACTGTGGCAATGCCTTTTGTAAGAATTAATACCAAACTAGTCCCCAAAAATTGAAGATTGAAAAGTCCCAAAAGTCCAGCTTTTGCAAGATGCCAATCTGCACCATATTCCCCCCTCCCCCAGCCCCCATTCCATTTCCTCATGTCTCTGGATTCATTGAATCCCTGCAGTGTCCCACAGAATTCATGGACGCTTGAGGAAATGTCTCACGCAGTGGTGGGTGCTATTCAGTCCAAAATCCAAAGTTTGGGCAGGGAAAGCCAGATGCTGGGACCACAGGAGGCACTCTGTTACTTGTTTTTGCCAGTCATAGGATCACAGCCCCTGCTTCTCAGTGGGCTCATTTTCTACACAGCAGGATGGCATTACAGAGAATCCTGTTCACAAGTACTCACAGGTGAATCCTATCAGTAACTTCCCCCCCATTCCTACCAGACCCACACAGGGAAAGGTTGTTTGGCGGTAGTTTGAGACTTTGGCTAAAAGAGCCATATTAAATAATTCACTGGCCCTGCGGATACCTACAGTTTATCTTGGATTATGGGCAGAAATGCAAAAGTTTTTAATTGCTTGGGGCATGCTAAGTTGTTTTATTGTTGTTGTTTTTCTGAAAAGGCACTATTGTTGGGTCCTGTTAGATCACCCTTGAGCTTTAAGAAATCGGCCCTAGTAAAAGGAAAGCCTGGAAGCTGCTTCCAGCTAGTGGCCATGTGTCCATATCTGTGTGTGCCTCTGCATTTCTGTCCTTGTCCTATGAAGGGATGTGGCCTCTCACTATCCCCAGAGGCCAGAGTTCTCGTCCTCCTCTCACTTCCACCTCCCCACTGTCAGACGTTTCTTCCGTCAGCCAACTGAAAGTAGCTCAGTTAGCATCAAGTGAAGATGGGGAATGAGATATCAAGGAGCCATCTCCATGTGTTCTACTTCTACCATATAAAACATTCAAGAGGAATGCAGTCCCTACTCATTTTTAGACTTCTAAATCTTTTGCATTTCAATATAAAATCGTTCCAATCTCATCGGCAGGTTTGTTCCATGTTTGAGTCACCTGGGCTGGTTTACGTGGTTTCCTGCCTCTGTTCTGTTCTCTGCCCCTCTTTAGTTGTGCTCTTGTGTGTATAGACAGTTTGTTTTAAGTGTTAGACTCTGATTCTCCTTTGCTTGCATTTTGTTAGTGAGGGCAGCATGAGGTTCATATGCTCCTGACCTAGCACTGTCTGCCTCAGAAATCTTACTACTATTTACAGGATTTGTCGAAAGACCTAGGAAACATTAGCTTTAGTTTACGTGTTAATAATTGCTGGAAAATGAAGGATGAATGACAGATTTTTGCTGTTTTTCAGCCATAAACAAGCACTTATAGCTGACTTTTAAGTCTCACTGCCATGGCATCAATGCTCACTCGTAGCAACCCCTGTGGGTTTTTGAGACTAATGAGTTTTTTAAAAATAATTTTATTGGGGGCTTGTACAACTCTTATCACAACCCATACATACATCCATTGTGTCAAGCACATTTGTACATTTGTTGCTATAATCATTCTCAAAACATTTGTTTTCTACTTGAGCCCTTGGTACCAGCTCCTCAATTTTCCCCTCCCTCCCCATTCCCCCCCATGAACCCTTGATAATTTATGAATTATTATTTTGTCATATCTTACACTGTCTGACGTCTCCCTTCACCCCCTTTTCTGTTGTCCATCCCCCATGGAGGGGGTTATATGTAGATCCTTTTAATCAGTTCCCCCTTTCCACCCCACCTCCCTCCACCCTCCCGGTATTGCCACTCTCACCACTGGTCCTGAAGGGATCATCTGTCCTGGATTCACTATGTTTCCAGTTCCTATCTGTACCAGTGTACATCCAGTTTTGTAAGGTAGAATTGGGATCATGATAGTGGGGGGAGGAAGCATTTAGGAACTATAGGAAAGTTGTATGTTTCATCCTTGCTACACTGTACTCTGACTGGCTCATCTCTTCCCCACAACCCCTCTGTAAGGGGATGTCCAGTTGCCTACAGATGGATCTTGGGTCCCTGATCTGTACTCCCCCTCATTCACAATGATTTGAATTTTTGTTCTTTGATGCTTGATACCCGATCCCTTCAACACCTCATGATCACACAGGCTGGTGTGCTTCTTCCATGTAGGTTTTGTTGCTTTCCAGCTAGATGGCCACTTGTTTGCCTTTAAGACCCCAGATGCTATATCTTTTGATAGCTGGGCACCATCAGCTTTCTTTACCACATTTGCTTATGCACCCATTTGTCTTCAATCGTGTAGGGAGACTGTAATGGTTTTGGGGAGTAGAAAGCCCAGGCTTTTTCCTGAGGAGTTGCTAATGGTTTATAGAATGAAACTATAATGGGAGTAAACAAAGGGTGAGCTTTTTCATTCTAAAGAAAATAACTGATTTTTTGGGGTCATTTCAGATGGAAGCTCCACCCCTGTCACCTTTCCCGCTTATGAAGCAGCAGCCAAGCTCACCCCGGCGCATTTCCCAACAGCATCCCATTTATGTTTCCCCACATCGGAATGGGGCAGGCCGCACGCCCAGGAGTGCTCTGTTGTACAAGTTCAATGGCAGCCCTTCAAAGGTAAGGTGCACACAAAAGTTAGTCTCAAACAATTTGTAATGGTAGAAGCAGGGATTCAGATTACCTATCAGGAATATTTTTTTGGAGGGGAGGCTAGGTAGGGAGTGGGGCATGATAATAATACAGTATGAACTGTTACTGTAGCCAGTGTCCTATGACCAAGAGCAGTATTTTTAGTTGAGGTCATTGAATCCATGACTACTGACAACATATTTGGGGAGTCACTGCAAGAGGCTGAGCCTTCTCCTCAAGCCTGATCTGGAGAAAAAACCATTAAGAGAACACCAGATATGGAGTCCAAGTTTAAAGAAAGGCCCTGGAAGTAAAAGTGTATCTAGTAGATCTCCTCTCTATCTAAGCGATGAAACTGTGACAGGGACACGATCGCTGTTTTCACATACTCCTCGAGATATCAAGCAGATAGGAGACCGTGGGTGCTAATGGTTAATGCTTGACAGCTAATCAGTGGCTTGGTGATTCATAGCCACCCAGAGGTGCCTCTGAAAAAGTCTGCTTCCCAAAGGGCCCAGCCTGAAAACCGCATGGAAAACAGTTTTATGCTGCATCACCGGCACCACTGAGTCCAAATTAACTCAGTGGTAACTAATTATGTGGTTTTTCCTTTAAGAAAATATATTCACTATGCCTCCAGAAGCCAGAGTCAAGACCAACTGGTACAAATTTATAATGGAGCATACTGTAACTCAGTCCAGTATGAATGGTCATTATTTAACTCATATTTTCCCCTACTCAGTTCTACAAATACCTGTCGAGTTCCTACTATATTCGTGGCAAAGGTAACTGACATAATACCTCACAGGCTTGCGTTTTATTTTCATAGAAACTGATTTCCTATAAATATATTAACAGGAGATCCTTTATTTCAGTGGTTCTCAACCTTCCTAATGCTGCGACCCTTTAATACAGTTCATGTTGTGTGACCTCCCCAACCATAAAATTTTCATTGCTACTTCATAACTAATTTTGCTACTGTTATGAATCGGGTGACCCCTGTGAAAGGTTCATTCCACCCCCAAAGGGTTCTGGGTGACAACCACTGCTTTAATTGCATTAAAGAGTAGGTGGTTGATTTCTAAGGCAGTGATTCCCAAATGATGGATCGGAGTCACCTGTGGAGTTTGTTGAACACTAATTCCTATCCAGTGAAAACTGCCTATTGCCTTCAAATTGATTGGAATGCGTGACAACTTCATGTGTGCATAATAGAACTACCTTATAGGGTTTTCACATCTGTGACCTTTGGAGGCAGATTGCCAGGCCTTGCGGTTAGTAGTTGAGGGCTTAACCATTTGTGTCATCAGGGACTTCTTATCTTGACACAGATTTACTGAACCATGAAGCTCTATCAGGCATGTCTGGGACTCTAATATAACCAGCCACCTGGACGATAGCTTTAGCATTCCATTTCATTTTTGACAACTTTCAATTTTCCTAGATTCATTCTGGGTACAGTCCAAGTTCCAGTCATTCATAGATGGTTGAAGAACACAACCAGTGTATCTTAGACTGAAAAAAATTCAAGATTTGAGTTGCAATATTTAAAGTTTCTCTGGGAAAAATTATGAATGATGCAGGAAGCATCAAAAGGAAATAGAAAGAATACTGAGTCACTGTGCCAAAAGAAATAACATTCAACCATTTTAAGAGGCAGTATGTGACCAAGAACCAATGGTGCTGAAGAAGTCTAATCTACTGAAAGTATTAGCAAAACCAAGGCTCCAGGAATTGATGAACTCATCAACTGACATGTTTCAATAAACTGCTGAAGCTCTGGAAGCATTCACTGGTCTGTGCCAAGAAATTTGGAATACAGTTACCTGCCCAGCTGACTGAAAGATACCCATATTTTTACCTAGTTCAAAGAAAAGTAGCCTAACCAAATATGCAAATTATAGAGCCATATCATTGATAGCATGTGCCAATAAAATTTTGCTGAAAATCATTCAATAGTTCCAATAGTTCAGTAGTACATCAATAGGGAGCTTCAAGAAATTCAGGCTGGATTCAGAAGATGATGTGGAATAAGAGATATCATTTCTTATGTTAGAAAGATACTGGCTAAAAGCAGAGAATACCAGAAAGATGTGTGACTATGCGAAAGAATTCGACTTTTATGTGTGGTTAGGAAAAAAAAAAGGCTATCTTTGATAAAAATGAGAATTTGAAAACATTTGATTGCTCATATGGAACCTGTACACGGACCAAGAAGAAATTCTGGAAACAGAATGGGAATACTGTGTGGTTTCATAGCAAGAAAAGTGTATTTCATGGTTGTATCCTCTCACCATATTTAATCGATTTGTATGCTGAGGAAATAATCAGAGAAGTTAGACTGTATGAAGGAAAACACAGCATCAGGATTGGAGGAAGGCTTATTAACAACCAGTGGTATGCAGATGACAGCCTTCCTTGCTGGAATTGAGGAGGACCTGAAACACTTGCGGATCGAGATCAAGGATATAGCCTTCAATGTAGATGATAGCTCAATGTAAAGAAAACAAACCCCCTACAATTGGACCTATAGATAACATGATCAATGGAGCAAAGATTGAAGTCCAAGATTTCATCTTGCTAGGATCCACAATCAGTGCTCATGAAAGCATCTATCAGAAAAATCAAATGGTGTGTCATTGCTTTAGGTGAATCTACACAAGACCTCTTTAAAGAGTTGAAAAGCGGGAAGATGGGGGAGAAAGGGGGAATCGATCACAAGGATCTACATATAATCTCCTCCCTGGGGAATGGGCAACAGAAGGGCAGTGTAAGATAAGATATAATCATAATTTATAAATTATTAAGAGTTTATGAGGGAGGGGGGAGGGGGGAGGGGAAAAAGGAAAATGAGCTGATTCCAGGAACCCAAGAGGAAAGCGAATTTTGAGAATGATGAGGGCAACAAATGTATAAGTATGCTTTACACAATTGATGTTTGTATGGATTGTGATGAATTGTATGAGCCCCAATAAAATGATCTTAAAAAAATAATAAAAGCAGGTTCACTTTTCTCTCAACTGCCAAAAAAAAAAAAGAGTTGAAAAGCAAGGATGTTACTTTGAGGACTAGGGAATGTCTAAGCTAAGCAGTGATATTTTCAGTCACCTCAGATGCATGTGAGTTGGACAGTGAATAAGGAAGATTGAAGAAGAATCCATGCAGTTGAAGTATGATGATGTTGGTGGAGAAAGTCCCCTGGACTGGTAAAGATCAAAGAAATCTATCTTGGAAAAGTACAACTTAGAAGCAAGGATGGTGCGACTTTATGTCACATACTCTGGATATGTTATCAGAGAGACCAGTCCCTCGAGAAAGGACATCATGCCTGATAAAAAAGAGGGGCAGCCAAGAAGACCCCCAATAAGATGGATTGATATAGTAGCTGCAGTCGTGAGCTCAAACATAACAAGTGTGAGGGTGGTATAGGACCAGGAGTATATTGTTGTTTTCACTATGGGTTTGAACTGACACAGTGGCACCTCACAAGAACACCACCTCGATGATTATGCTGCAAACTTTGAGGAAGCACTTCTCCAACACCTTGCTGCTCAGAATGTGACTCATGTACCAGCAACCTCTGCAGCATCTGGAAGCTGTGAGAAAATGCAGATGCTGGACCAGCCTTGCTGAATCTGAATCTGCATTTTCAGAAGATTCCCAGATGGTGAAAAGTATTGCTCCTAAAGAAGAGATTCTCCCTGCGTCGGAATCGCCTTGGAGGGCTCTGTACAACAGATGAGTAGGCCCCATCCCCCAGGGTGTCTGATCTAGTGTGTGTAGGGTGAGGTTCAAAAATTTACACTTTGTAAATTTCTAGATGCTTGAAAGGACCCCTGGTGGCATAGTGGATTAAGTGTTGAGCTCCTCACCAAAAAGGTTGGTGGTTTGAATCCTCCATCTGTGCTGTGGCAGTCAGCTCTGCAGATGTGCAGCTTCGGGAACCCTGCACACTCCCTCTGTAGCGTGGCTGTGCCTTGGAATCGACATCTGAAGTGTATTTCATTTGGAACCTTTGCTGTTTCTGGTCTAGGGTCTGAGACCTACATAAATGGAATCTAATTTTCAAAACTACCTGAAAAGATTAGTTCTAGCCATCCTTAATTAGGTTTATTTAGATTCGATAGACCATTTTTGTACCCAGTGTCTAAATGTCCATCTGAACAGAGGATAGAGAACAGGAAAAAGTGATCATTTATTTCGTCTTTGTTGCAGTTTCCCCTTTTACTCACACAGCCTCTATTTTTGGACAGAGTTTGAAAGACATCAATAACATGATAAGACAAGGTGAGCAGAGAACCAAGAAGCGAGGACTAACCATCGATGGTAATGCAGAGTCCCCTGCCAAACGCCTCTGTCAAGAAAATGATGATATTTTACTTAAAAGACTCCAGGATGTGGTCAGTGAACGAGCACATCAGTAATGCCTTGGAGGGCTCTGTACAACAGATGAGTAGGCCCCATCTGGGGTAAAACCACTGCTGGGTTGTCTTCATTGAAAAGAGACGCTGTACCCTTCACACCTTCCAGATGGCAAATATCACCAGGCATAAGACAAAGTGCACCAAAACTATGTGCTGTGTTTTTTATCCTCATTTGTCCAAAACTGTAGTTGATAAAGGTATATTTTAAATTGAATAGGGATGTTTTCAGTGCCTTTAAGAAATATTAATAATCAAAAGAGTTCTGCAGTATTTGATCTGGGGATTACTTTGTAAGATGAAGTAAGATTAAAACCCATGTAGCCCATTCTAGTTCCGCTCATTTTAAAAGAAAGAAAGAAGTCTCTTGCATGTTGTCCTATAAAGGCGCACATCTCTTTTTGGTAAAGCATGCTTTGAGACACCCGTGCTTTCAGTCACTGAAGTAGGTTGGCTTCCTTCGTACTTGGTGGCTCCGCATGCAGTTGCCACTGCTGTCCCAGACTGCTGCCGCCATTCTCCCCGGTCCATTCTCAGCCGTGGACCTGAGCCCTGCACCCCCTCCTTGCTTTCCAACCCGAAGCCCTCTTACATAACTATACTAACTACAAAAGGGGCATTTGTTTTTAAACGATTAGCATTTTGTTTTTGTAACATTAGCTTAATTATACATGGTTGTATTAAATCATGTGATTCTCAAAATAAGATGCTGCTTCTCAAGGCAGTATAATTCAGATAGATTTTTTTAGAAACAGAATTTCCCATTAATGAGGTAGAACCATGATAATGTGTGAGATGCTATTTTTAAGCTCATCATAAGATCAGTCATTCTCAATGTCTTAATCAAGTCCCTATAAATATTGGAAGGCTTTTTCGAACCATGTCAAAAATCACCTTCTGCCTTGTAATTCTGATAGGCATCAATAAAGCAACAGGTCCTTCCTGTTCCTTATGCATTATTACTGGTGCATCGTGAGTTTCCTCTGAGGAGTTGACTTTGGGTCCCCCAGAGATGCATCGTTCCAAAGAATCACCTCCTTAAATGTCCGTTTTTTTCTAGTGTATTTCCAGAATCTGGAGCTACATGGATGAGCCATCCTTAATTTTGAGAATG